AGTGTTTAATAATAGGTTTACTCTTGATTAGTTCTTGAAACCTTTTTCAAGATCATTTAGACTCCCACTGACCTCTTGATATATAAGATTCTTTTGTCAAGAAACATTTCTTGATAAACAAATATTCAAGAGTTAGTGTGTGTCTATATCAAGACAAAACTACACGCAATTTGGTACTAGTTGGTCTTTGTCTTATTCAAGACATCACAACTTACCAAAATGTGTAAGTGTAAGAACATTCCTACTTAAGATTATCTCACTCAAGTCACAATCTTGGAGTATGACTCTAAGACTTGATTTTGGAACGAAGTACGATACATATTATTGACTTAACCACTTAAACAATTCTCCATTCCTATTCTTAGCCAAACCAGTGCACTAAGGTATCCTCAGAGGATGAATTGTAATATGGTTCTTACGATTACCAAGATGATCACAAAACATGATACAAAGTACTCTCCCTTCTTCTTAGATTGGAGAAACTTTTTATCTTTCTGCCTTCATTGATTCTACTTATTTGTTCTGCCATTCATTGAAACTTTTCAATGATTCAGAATTACACTTAATCTTGTAAGTATAACCACATTTACTAGACTTTGAGTTAATCATGATGAATAGTGTTATTGTTATATATGGTGAACATGACTAGTGCACAACGTTGTGTACTAGTTCCGTTAGTCCTTCACTTGACTCACATACTTATGTCAACAAGGAATTAGTCTTAATTTCTTTAGTACCAAGATTTCCATACATCATACAATACAAGTTGTATGATTCCAAGTTTCTATCCAATTGAAATTTGGGCGATGGGAATCTTTCCTTACTTAGAAAAATTTGACACTTCCATAAATAACATAACTAAGAATCACATCCATTTATAGAAACACACAAACATCAATTTTTGCACAACAATTTCATTGCAAGGATATATATATATATATATATATATATATATATATAAAATTTATTTTATTCATAAAAGTAGCGGAAAACATGTCCTTACAATGCAAAATCAACTGAAAAACTATGTAATCAAATATTCCTAACAAATCTATCATAACTTTCTAAGCTGAAAATCTCATCTTCGAATCTATGCGATCGTGATCCATTTGTTCGTGATCAGACTCATCTTGCTCATCCATCAAGCTTCCTCTCTTTTATCTGATCCTGCAAGACATTCAAATGTAATCTTATCACATTATGTATTAAGAATCAATGAATAGGAACTTAATGGAGTTAGATAGTGGATTTTACCTGAAGTAGAGCCAAACGTCTTGACTCTCCCATCTCTTAGATCTCTCAGATAGACTGGACAGCTTCGTCTCAAATGCCCTTCTCTTGGAAATAAAAGAAAATTGACTCTTTTAGAACAACACACGGAACTACTTCATATTTTTCCTTTCTCTTATGATCAAGGGCATGCCTTTCGTTGCCATTTCCTATAGAGGTTGGAAGGCAGATCCACCAATCAACTTTGCTTTTCCAGTGCACCAAATCATCGTTGATTCAGTAGTAATAAGCAAATAGGTGAGATTGATGAGGGTCACATCGTGGTCTAACATATAGTACTCTCTTATGAACTCACTATATGAGTCAGGAAGCGATTGAAGAACCCAGTCAACAACCAGCTCCTCACAGACAACGACTCCCAACATTCTTAACATATGAATGTGTAACTTCATCTCTAAGACGTGTGCACACACTTACTTTCCATATTCATGTTTTATCGCCAACATGGGTTGAGTGAGATAGAACTTTTCAAGCCTTTGAACTTGTGGGTTAGGGAGAACAATAGGAGGAGATGGAGGAAGTAAAGCATGATATCTTGTTCCTTGATCGAGTCGTGGAATATCATCTTCATGTGGAAAGCTTATTCCACGGGATTTGGGAAGACCATAGTTGTCATGCTTTGACATCTACAAAACAGGAGAAATACAAGTTAATTGATTGATTGAGTCCTTAATAAATCACTTAAATAAGATATTAAGGCTAGGACCCAACACAATACTCTACAACCTGGGAGAGAGATGTCGTAACCCAAATTGCAGAACATTTGAAGGTAAGTGAATGACAATTCACTAATTTTCCACCATGAAAAACGAAAAAGAGATTAAGTTTAATATGTATTGAAAACTCCTAGATCCTTTGAGATTCATTGAACTTTTCAATGGCATGTTTAAATCTCGATATGCCCTTCGATTTGTGACTGGGATGCCGAGGATCACAAAACAGGGTGTGAATAACCATGTGAGCTTAAATGGTGTCGCCAATGTTACAGTCATCTATTCGATGTGCCTGTTAACCATACACGCTCCACCGAACTATGACAAACATCGAGTCACCCTTTTCTACCTTTGCTTAGAACCCATTTAGTGTTCCGGTTAACCACACATGCTCCACTAACGTCTTAGCAAGGGTACAAAGTGTAATTTCATGGAGTTGCATCAATTCACTTTTGCCTAAAGTAACTAAGATTGGGAATTTTTGTAAAACATTTAGTTACTTTAACATTCATTATACTTTTTAATGAGGAAAGGGTTTTCCTTATCCTACCCGTTCGGCTAACGACTCTCCACCAATCAAGGAAGCGGTGGGTGAGAGTGGACACCCATTTAACGACCATTTTATAGGCCATAACTTTATACCCCCCTTATAGATCGGCTTCGTGAATGAGGCTTTTTAATGTTATACATATATAATATTAGACTTTTAATGTTATATATAGTATAATGGTGTATTTTACACTTTTAAAATACTATGTGGTCTAATTTAATAAATTACACTTTTAATTTAAGTAAATGTAAACCATATCACTATGGATTTATTAACTCCCCTTTAATTATACACTTAATTAATTTAATAAAACCATAAGGGTTCAGTTTGAACTTTTTCAAAAAATTAGGGTTTTAGAATTTAACATTTTAAAATTAAACTTTTAATTAAAATCTAAATTCCAAAACGTGATGACAAGTTTTGAAACATTTCAAATCATTAGGGTTTAAAATTTAAATATTTCAAAATTAAACTTTTTAATCAAAAAATTTAAATTCCAAAACTTGAGGGAAAGTTTTGAAACTTTTTAAAACTATCTAGATCAAAAAAAATAAGGCAATTAAATAATTAATTGGTGATTATCTAGTTTTGACCTAATCCAATTTCATGTAAGATAATTGACCAAATAATTCAAATAACTTAACATTTATCAAATAAGGTAACAATTATCTAATTAGATGACAAAAATCTTTTATTTTGTCAAGGATAATCATAAGGAATCAATAAAATTCGTATTTTATTAATTTGAAACAATTATGGCAATTATCCTAAGTCAAAATAGGCAAAAAAAATCCGAAAATCTATCTCTCTAACAGCCAGACTCATCGAGTCACTCACTGGACTCACCGAGTCAGGTCGGGCAGAGGCCAGAAACTCGATTTTCAGCAGGTAAACAAGCATTGAATCACATACAACAGAAACCAATTATGGCTTTGATACCACTGATGGGTTTCAGACAAAAGAACATCCTATGTGCTAATGCAAACCCTAAAGCTTGGATCTAGTTTTCTCTATTGTACATGCAATTCATCCAAGACTCAAGAACCCTAATCTAGCATATGCATTTCGAAATTATTAACATAAGAACAGATCTAGATGATTACCTCTTCTTCAATGGTTTGCATCTTCTTGTCTTTAGAGCTCAGAGTCACAAGTGTCACTCCTCTAATTGGTTACAAACACCACAAGCAAGAGAATGACTTATGAGAAGGAGGAGAAGCACCAAAACCATCCTAGGGTTTTTCCAAAAGAGTTCCACACGTTTTTGGATCTATAGGGCTCTTTATATAGTGAGGCAATTAGGGTTATCAACTAGGAAACCCTCATTTGACTGCTTAGGCCCTAAGCAGCCCATGGACTCCCTTTAGAACATCCCTTGAACGAATTCCTTATGGGCTTCCCATAGATTTCATCCAGCCTATGTTCCAAGGTGATCCATAGCCCAACTGCAACTATCTTATAATTACAATTCCAATCCCCTAAGTTTAATTAATGTCTTTTAGTCACAAAACTAATTATCAATTAAATCTTGACTAATACACTACTAGAAAAACAGCCTTTTATGACGCTCATTGCGCGTCGTAAAAGGCTCAGACGACGCGCGTTTACGACACGCAATGCGTATCAAGGAAGGCCCTGTCATACAGGAAGATGACACGCATTCGCACGTCGTGACCTTACGACACGCGTGTTAATGACACACAATGTGTATCATGGAAGCCCCTGTCAAGAAAGGCCATGTCATAAATGAAGATGACACACATTTTTGCGTATCATAATTTTAAATGTTAAAAAAAAATATTATTTATAGATTTACTAATTTTCAAATTAAATTTGCATTTAATATTAAATGTAAATTTAATTTGAAAATTAGTAAATCTATAAATAATATTTTTTTAACAACATATTGAAATTATTATAAGAACGATAATTCATTTCAAAAAAATATCACATGTCAAACAAGTTACCTAAGCATTACATGTCAAACAACACTACATGTCAACGCTAATAACACTTAAAAACATGTTTTTTTCCTGCATTTGGAGCATCCACAATTCCTATATCAGCAACCAACTTTAGGTCCAATTCCAATCACCTGTAAAAGAACAACATTGTAAAAGAACAACATTAGAAGATCAACATTTGCTTGATTTGACGATTCAACATTAGTTGCCCTTGGACCAATTTTAGGTGTAGAGTGTGGTGTAACAAGTTTTGAAGGGTACCTTTTTGATGAGAATGCCCTTGCATTATCGTTCCCCCTAAAGATAAACATGAAGCACAAACTGAGTTTTCTCTTGTCAGAAGCTGCAATTTCTGCTGTCATGAGTTTGTATTAAGTTTTGAAGGGTACCTTGAGACATACAATCTCCTCCATTAGACCATCTCTTCTCCATGCTAAAAAAGAGATAATTCCAGTGAACTTCCTTCAACTATGCCCATGTAACTTATAATTCCAGTGCAATTCCTTCAACTATGGGTGTTTTAGTCTCGGGTGTCAGGTTCACTATTAGGGCATGTGTATCTGTGTTGGTTAATACCCGAGCAGATAGATCGGGCAGTTGTGATTCATCAGTTCCAAAAGTGGCAACTGGGTTGTGGCAAACTGGATACCACCTGAACACTATCACCGCATTCTTATCCTGATAAATATCAATTAGAAACTTATCAATAAGCCTAATCATTATCATTAAAGAGGGATAAAAGGAGGGAGGGGTAATTAAGTAAATAAACCTGGAACCAGTTGAAACTTATCAATAAGCCTAATCAAGTCCCATACAAGAATATTTCCATTTTGATCATCAGATATCAGCTCAATCTGCACACCCAAAAACAAACCAATAAACCAAATTATATATAGGTACATGGCCAAAAAAAACAAATCTAATTTTCACACAGAATCATGGACACCTGATTTGGATGCAAAACCATAGTGTTAAAAGATTCAAAACTTGTAGAATTCAGCCAAACCTCTTCACCATCGAAGGCCAAAGCAACAACATGAGTCCTCATTATATTTTTTTCTTGACTGAACATCACTCAAGGACAACTCTGTATGTCTATCCAGAATGCTAGTTGAAGCAAATGAAGTGTCCGTGTCCTGTAACTCTCAAGCTGATCAAATGTTTCGTCAATATTTCCCCCAAAGACTAGCTTGAAGTGAAGCTTCGCTTTCTTTATTGTAGATTGAATGTGACTTTGATTTGAATGTAGGAATAAAGAAACACATCGAAATCAGTAATTGCAATCTATATAATTAAAATAAACGAATTTTCACGTAAGAAAATTATATGAATAGGAGAGAGAGAGAGAGAGAGAGAGAGAGAGAGAGAGAGAGAGAACCTCGATCTAAGGGAAGAGGCCATGGTAGCCACGAGATTTGATAAAGCTGTATGCGACATCCTTAGAACCATGAGTATCGGGAGCAGAAAAAGTGCCTCCAACATAAAATTAGCTATGGCCACCGGAGGAGGAAATCATGATTGAAACTTGTATATGTTTTTCTGGTTAGGGTTTTACAGAAGAGGATTCAAAATCGAAATTAGAGGCATGAATAAAGGAGAAATAAGAACCTGGATCTTGTCTTTGACATTATCGACGATGTCGACGTTGCTTTCAACATCGAGTGGGAGATATGGTGGTTCCAGTGGGTAGAAGTGAGTGAGCCTTGATTGATGTCCTCCCTTTCTCTCGAACGCCTTTTGTATCCCACATATATTCCTTTATAACGGAGGTGAAGGGAACGCACAAAGAAACCCCTGTGAGAGAGAAAGCAATAGTTGATTTGAAGCCACCGACAAATGAAATTGAAAGGTAGAGGCGCTACACTCCTTTTTTTTGTTCGTGTCACCACACATCAACATAGAGAAATCGAGAACCCCTGCGGGTTTGATCTGTTCAGAAGACGGGATCAGAGATTTGGTGATATTGCGATTTTGTTGCGGGAGAAAAGAGGATTTGTGATGATATTAGGGTTTTTTTTGGGTATTAGAGTGAGAGAGATAGAGAGAGAGAGAGAGAGAGAGAAGAGAAGAAGAAGAAGAAGAAGAAAGATGGAAATAAGATAGAGGATAACAATGGCGGCCTTTCAAACTTTTGGGATTTTCGTTTCCCCTCCAGCTGCAAAAAAAGAGAACGCGACTTTCATTCAAAAAATATACAGCGAAATTTCTAGATGACGCCCATTTTTAAATAAGTGCCCTCCGTATTTTTAATTTTTTATCTTGGACATTTATTTTAGGGCACGCACAAAAGCATGACCTCTATCCTTCAAAAGTTTGAAGAGATGACATTATTTTTAGAGCGCACGCTTTTGCGTATCGTAAATCACCGCGTGTCATTGTTTGCACGTCATTAAATGTTGTTTTTCTAGTAGTGATATTAATTAAACAATATGATTTCTCCTTTAATATATTATTCATATAATATATTAATAAATCATAATTAATCCTCTTTCTCCATAAATCATCCTTTAAGTTGCTTTGGTGAAGGCAACCCAAAATGACCATGCACAACCGGGTCAAGTACATACCAAATATAGTTACGGGCTTAGACACTAATCCAACAGTTTTGAGATAGTTTAACATATGTTTTTATGAAATGTTTTGATAACTATGGTTTTATTTAAAGATTTAAAACAAATTTTTTGGTCATGATTTTTGGGATGTTTCAAGTTGGTATCAGAGCCTTGGTTTGAGGGATTCGGGCACACTGTCGGGTGTGTCTGAACTCAAACTGAGGACTTGGTATAATTTTTTTTTAAAAGAAAACCACTTTTATAAAAAGAGTTTTGAAAAGAGAAAAGGGTGTGGTGCATGCAATCAGCCAAGCTCAAGTAAGTTCTCCCAAATTACCCATACATGTTTGTTATGATATGATATGATTATGAGAACTGTATGCTAGATTAGGGATAATATCTAGGAAGGATGCCTTGTATGCATGTTGATGTGTATGAGAAATGCCTGCTAGATTAGGGCTAAGGATCTGGGAAGGATGCCTTGTATGCCTACTGTATGAGCTTATTGAACTACATGCTAGTACTGATTAGTCAGTAATATGATGGCCTGATTTGGATATGCTTGGTTTTGTTACTCGATATACAAATGATGTTTGATTTGTGCTTTTAGGAGTTCTTGTTATTTGTAACTAACTAGTAAACGAATATGTTAAGTTACATATTACGAGGCCTGGATAATTTCATAAGGTAAGGGTTAGCCCTATTTTGCAGCTCCGAGTCTAACTGTTTTAGGGAGAGACCTATCATTCGAAGAACTAGCTAGTCTTAGTAATATGTAATAGTATTCACGAGCTAGTTAGGGAAATGTAGCATGGACTTCTTATGCAGCTGATAGCGGAGAGTGGGTTGAAGATTACCCTAGGGAAAGCCTAGGATGAGATTAGCGCGAAGAGCAGTAGTAGCAGAAGAGACTTGGTGGAGTCAAGGAAATTCTTGAGGAAAGTATGGATAAATGTGGAAGGTAGTATGGGCCCATACTATTGAAAGCAGAGGATCCATACTTGGTCAAGGAGAGCTGGGATGAAACCATGGAACTTGTAGTGTGTGTGATCCCTCAATTTATGATGACTATTATGATGTTTGTTATGGTGTATTTTCAGTATGGTGATGCTACGCACTAGACCAGTTGGCAGTTTAGGTTTTGGCGTGGGATCAAGCTCGGGCTTTGGATCCGGGAAGCTCGACGACCAGATGAGAGAGTTTATTTCATCTGAAATTTCTCGCCGTATTATGGAATAGACTCCTGTGATATGATCAAGCAGGGTATTTTGGAGATTCTTGACCATAGGTTGGGTGCGTTACGTATCGAGATGGCGACCATGATAGGGCGCGCACGATGACATTCAGGGAGTTTCGAGCTTGTGGAGCTCCAGACTACCATGTGGATAGGGACCCCATTGCTAGAAGTAGGTGGTTGGCGGATGTCGCTAATGCCTTTCGCACTAGCCGTTGTCTCGAGGGGGACTTGCTTCCTGCCTCTTAAAGGACAAGGCGAGTGATTAGTGGGAGGAGGTTTGACATGCTATTGGAGATGATGCTGATCTTGATGCGATGACCTGGAGTGATTTATCGGCCAAGTTTAGGGCCGAGTTTGCACCTGTGATCGAGGTGCAACAGCTTGCGGGGAGTTCCAGGATCTCGAATAGACTACTGAGACGATGAATGAGATCACCGCCATGTTTAGGTCGAGGGCCCTTGTTGTTCCATAGTACGTGGTGGACAAGGAGATGAAAAAGGCCTGGTACCATGAGATGCTGCAGAGTGATATCCTCCAGTTTGTGAGCCGATCCAGCTGCAAGACGCTGTAGGATATGATAGCGAGGGCTCAGGAAAGGGATCTGAATTTGGAGATGGAGAAAAAGAGGAAACCAAATGGGGTTCAGACAGGGAGTTCGAGCAAAAAATCTCAAGGTATCGGATCATAGATCAAGGTTCCAGCAAGGTCGCAGCCGCTGTGGCAAGTGCGGCAAGATGCACGATGGGGCGTGCAGGGCGTGTAGTTCGGGTTGGTTTAAGTGCGGCCGAACTGGTCATGTCAGCAGGGAATGTACTACTACCACCCCCACCACCACCACAATATCTGATCTGATTTGCTTTCAGTGCAATCAGAGGGGCCAGAAGTGGTCCGAGTGTCCGAGTTTAGCAACAGCTGGACAGGTGGCGGCACACGCTCCTACTACGTTAAGGACTATCGACGACCATCAAGGCCGGATAGAGGTGCATGTGGCGAAGAGCAGAGCCTTCCAACTGAATGTAGAGGAGGCATGTGTAGCTCTCGATGTTGTAACGGGTATGTATTTTCTCCTTATCTCTTTATTTATATTGATTTATTGCTTATGTTTATGTGTTTCATTATAGGTTCATTCATTGTGAACGGTATATCTGCTCTACTAGTATTTGATTTGGGGGCAACCCGATCTTTTGTATCACTCACACTCAACAAGCGATTTGTGGGAGTTCTCGGAGAGCTTGACTGTCCACTTGAGGTAGAGATAGCGGATGATAGGACCGTTCGGGTTGCGAGGGTTCATCAGGGATGTACACTGCCGTTGTTCGATGAGTAGTTTTTTTTTTTTTTTTTTTTTTTTTTTTTTTTTTTTTTGTATATTTAGTCCCTATTCCCCCATGAGGGAATAAGGTTATCGTGGGTATGGATTGGTTGAGCCCTAATGGGGCAGTGATCGATTATGAGCATCAACTTGTACGAGTTCGGATCCAAAGTAGGGGAGGTTTGGTGATTTAGGGTAAGAGGCCGCAGTATGGACCAACTTTGTGTTCAGCCGCTAGGGTGAGACACTACCTACAGCAGGGTTACACAGGTTATGTTGCCTATGTCATGGATACCGATCGTACGGGAGTACCCGGACGTGTTCTTAGAGGATTTGACTGGGGTACCTCCGGAGAGGTAGTTAGAGTTCAGGATTGACATAGTTCCTGGTGTGGCTCCGATAGCCAAGGCACCATATCGGTTGGCTCTTCCCGAGATGCTAGATTTGTCTACATAGCTGAAGGAGCTGTTAGACAAGGGATTTATTAGGCCAATTAGTTTGCAATGGGTAGCCCCGATCCTGTTTGTAAAGAATATGGACGGGTCGCATCGGATGTGTATAGATTACCGGGAGCTGAATAAGGTAATGGTGAAGAATTGTTATCCCCTCCTGAGGATTGGCGATTTATTTGACTAACTTCAGTGTGCATCTTGATTCTCCAAGATTGATCTACGACCGGGTTATCACCAGATGCAAGTCTGGGACAACAATGTGTCGAAGACAACCTTTTGGACTCGCTATGGTCACTATGAGTTCGTGGTGATGCCATTTGGGCTCACCAATGCTCCGGCTGCGTTCATGGATCTCATGAACCGCGTGTATTGATCGATGCTGGAACGGTCTGTGATAGTCTTCATCGATGAATCTTGGTTTACTCCAAGACTCAGGAGCAACACGAGGAGCACCTGAGGGAGGTACCGGAGATACTGAGGAGGGAGAGACTTTTCACAAAGTTCTCCAAGTACGAGTTTTGGTTGCATGAGGTGTAGTTTCTGGGGCACATTGTCAACCAGAAGGGTATTCTGGTCGATCAGGCCAAGGTAGAGGCTGTAATGTAGTGAGAGGTTCTGAGGTCTCCATCCGAGATTCAGAGTTTTCTTAGTCTGGAGGGTTAATATCGGAGATTCATCTAGGATTTCTCCAAGATTGTTGTTCTATTGATCCGATTGACCAAGAA